CGACTCCTCATCGTCTTCGGACAGACTGAGAACCTCCTGCTCCATCTGCAGAACATCGTCCTCCTCTTGGTTTAGATCCAGTAGAAACTGAGTCTCGCCCCCCTCGATGTCGGGTGAGGCCGCCTCGTGCTCCATCTGGTCCGCCCAGCTAGCAGCGGGGGCTTCGACCGCAGAATCCTCGTTTTCGTCGGACTGAGCCGTCTGGCTGGATTCAGAGAGCAGCGGGTCTTGTCGGAAAACAGCAGTTTCCCCCAGCATTTTCTCCGGGAATTTCGCTCTCCTCTCCAGTGTCGGATGCGAAAGTCCGGCACAGGCCCAGCAGGACTTGGGCTCCACAAGCGCCCGTCGAGCGTGAATGATTCCTAGGCAGGCCTCATGCTGGTCCTTCTCATGAAGCTTAAAGCCGCACCCCTGAGGACAGGGGCGAACAGAAGACTTCGGCTTCTTCGAAGGTGGTTTTGTGCTCATCGTGAACCACAAAACAGATTTTCAGCAGAAAATAAAGGTCACTTAAGTAGCGTCGAGCGGCAGACATACGAACCAGCAGCTAACGCGGTTAGCACCAGTAAAGCTAGCCTAAGAACCTTAGAAGCTGAGCTAACTAGCAGCAGCTATGTGAGCTCAGGTTTAGAGGTGACTATCGCGAGGTGAAGGGTGATAGAACTGAGTAATGACGCTGATGACTCCAAACTTATAGGGTGAAGGCGGAGCCTGTCACCCGACATTCAACGTCACAGGTCTAAAGACGTGATTAGAGGTGGCTTCAGCCAGGCGCGCAAGGGCGCGCGTGTCCCATATACAACTGTGTGTTGTAATGAGTGAAATGACTGAAAAGGAACCAACAGTAATGATAAAGAAAAACAGATGAGACTTTTTTTTTATGTGTTTGCTCAACACCTGGCAGTTCTTCATTTCTATTGTATGGTTTTTAATCCCAGGCTGAAGTAATACACTAGCCTCATTTTAAAAAGTTCAAAGAAACTGATTCAACAATAATAAATCCAGTATTTATGCATGTATAATTTGATTCGAGAATGATGTGACCCCCTGCATCTTTTCAAMTTAAAAAGCCTCCTCGTGTATGATGCTACCATTAGTTTCATACAGACTGACATAATTTCTTACCTTTTTCGGCATACACTCTGGATTATTTTGGGGACACACACTTGTGGGKGTGTTTTTGGCTGCAGAGGAACTGCACATGCTTCTACATGTTGTAGAAAATAATACACTCCCAGAAGAAGCTGGTTGTTAAATAAAAATGTAATGTAAAAAAAAGTGATTACGTAGATCTCCCTTTACGGTGAATCTACATACTGATGCCCACCATCTTCACCAGTCTAAGTTGTGTGGGAGAGTGGTAAAGAGAAAGTCACTGCTGAAGAAAATTCATATTAACTCTTAACTGGAGCATGTGAAAGACGTAATAGTTGAGTGCTTCTCGGCAGCCGACCCTGGCAGGCTTGTAAGAATAGAAGGTAAAATAAAAGCCATAAAATACCAAGTCCTGTAGGACCATCTGCTGCCTGCAGAAGACCCGTGTTTTATGCAYGGTCTCTCCTTTCTCACAAGCTGAAGCTTGTTGTATTTTCCCATAACTCCTTGAGAGGTCACATTTTGGTGACCTCGTGGTCACTCAGTTTATGAGGATSGCTTGTTCTTGGTAGATTTACACACATGTCCCATATTCTTTCTATTTCTTGATGATGGATTTAACACAACTTCTGAGTATGTTTAGGGTCTTGAAAATGTTTTTGTATTTACCCCTTGACTTTTACTTTTCAATAATATTGTCTTTGTCCTTTTTAATTAGAGTAGTTACTTGAAAGGAAATTTATATTAATGCAATACTCTTCTATAGGTACTGTATATGATTGTTGCAAATCAGGATAAAGTAAAGTTACAAAAAATTGACTATTTTTAATTTAACACCTAGTTTCTTTCACCTTTTTCTTTGACAAAAAATGTTCAGTGCTGCTAGAAAGTTATGCAAAATAAATTACTTTAATTTTATTTTGATCTTTCATATCGGTACATTAAAGCCTCACGTCTTGATTTTTATTTAATTGTTTTGTTATCTTCATTAACAGTTTTATTTTGTATTTTTTGGTTGTGTAATTCATGGGAGCTGTAGTTGTTCATGTATTTTTCTTCGTGTGTCTTTATGACTTTTCTTCATGTACTACGTTTAACTTTATATCAGAGTCCTACTCTTAGAGCTAACCCAGCAGATGCTGTTTGCTATCCCCCCAAACTCATCCGGTCGAGGCAGATAGCCGCCCGTCCTTAGCCTGGTTCTGCTGGAGGTTCTGTTCTATTAAAAGGAAGTTTTTCTTTTCCACTGCTGCCGATGTGCTGCTCAGGATGGGAGACTGTGATGGAGTGAAGATTCAACGCAAATCTGCTGGCTTCATTAGATTGATTGTATTATGTCCTGAGAGGATGACTGTTTTTACTTGGCGCTATATATGTAAACTGAATTGAATACGTTTGCTGGTATTTAACCAGGGTTTTGGATGTTTCTGGTTCTACATTAATACTGAAAACAATGAAATTCTGTATGTTCTTTAACAGTGTTCTCCATATATGGCAGAAATGCTCCCCCACAGCAGCAAACTGGGACCTAAACAAATTCACCCTTCTGATTTAAAGGTGAATGTGTCTTTTTCCTCCTTAAGGACTTAACTGACTCTGACCCCGAGCCGTCTGCTATTGAGAGGCTGGGGGCTGGACCTGGCTCAGGATTCAAATGGGAGAGCAGTGTAGGTGAACCACCCCACCCCACCCTTTTTTTTACTCCTCCACCAAGTCTGCCTTGCCTTGCTGTTCTTCTACCTGACCTTAACCTTTGGCTTTACGTTCCCAACAACTGCAGACCTTTCCCTTCTGACCTGTTTGGTGCTCACTTTTGACTGCTGAAGATGTTTGTTGGGTGTATCTTCTTGAGATGGTCAGCAACTCTAAAGATGGAGGCTCAAAAAGAAGCAAAGGTTCAGTTGACTCAGAAATAAAATGAACAAAGCTCTGCTTTTGTTAAAAATATGGAGTAAGGAACCAGGGTTGATGACCACTCTAAAAGAAATACTCTTGAGCTGGTTTGACCACTGTGTGTGTGTGTGCGCGTGTGTGTCCGTGTGATGAAATGATGCAAACCTAATATCTAAGTTAACTGTTTATATTTTTCTGTGAAAACATTTGCATAGCTGTTACAACTGAGCTCAGTTATATATTATACAGGAAGCAGTGAGTCTTTCTCATTGGTAATGGCTTTCATTGTGTGCTGAGCTGTGAACAGTAACCACCAATTTCCCTTATRATTTCCTCTTTGTGGAATTATGCAACACACTAATCTATTGTATAGCCTTCTTTTTTTGGCTTGAAAATCTGGGTCTGAATGATTTGACTGAAATGGAACCACATTTAAATATCTGGATTTGGAAATTATACAAATTTCACTTAAATTGCATAACACGTAACAGGTTGTGAACCGTGTTGAGGAATGATCAAAATTATCCACTAAATTGTTTCCCCCCAACTGCATGTGTGTGTTACATAAGCTTATCTAAGCATGTTTTATTTCCTTAAGACGGATACAGAAATTGAAAAGTGCAATTCTAAGCAATTTCTGGTTCAAAATAGTGTTCTTGAGAAAATTAAATATATGATGGCTGAAGGTAGAATCTCACTGGGCTGTGATTAGAGATCGACATATATCTGTTATTAATTATACCTAGGTTGATCTTTAGATGTCAATGCAGCTGATGGCAGATATGAAACTGATTTTTATTAGTACTATTTTTTTGCCAATAAGAATTTTTTTATATATCAAAATACAATAGTTGGTTAACTTCAGTAAACAGAACCATTCACTCTTAAAAATAATATCTAAGAAGCTGCACTGGTTGAAGTTGCTGCTTCTTCATGTTCAACATGTTTCCTACTTGGTTAATTGGTTAATTATGCACAGGCAGTGTTGATTGCTGATTTTTATTTTTTTATTTTTTACGTTGGCYAATGTTGACCAACTCTGTGTCTTTAGCTGTGACTGTTGGAGATGGTTAATGATTAAAAATTGCGAGACAATACGAAAATTTAGCATTTTTTGGGGAAGTCTTGAACGTTTGCAACCTGTGCTACCAAGGTCTCTTTTTTATCACTTTTGTGTGCCTAGCTTGCAAAATTGTATTCTAGGTTGCGCACATTCTTTCTTGGCCCACTCAAAATACATCTATCTCTCTAAAATTAGTAAAATTAAATTGAGACTGGTTTTAGACTCCTTTCTTAAAGGGGACTTATTAAGCCAAATTCACTTTTTAAAGTTTTTTTTACCCAACTTTGGGTATGTACTTCTTAAAAAACAGTCCTAGGACCAAAAAAATTCACCCAGGGGCATATTTACTGTAAGTAAATGTATTTTTAATGTATATTAATGACAAGTTTTATACTTCCTACATTTTGTGATGTCACAAGCCGTACGACAACCCACCGGAACCTGCGTTCAGCCCCTTACCTAGCAACCCCCGGTTAAGACTCCACCTCCAGTATAAAAAGCTGTCACGGTGTTGTTGTGTAATGTGTGGCTCATTTCACAACAAGCCTCCAATAGGGCAATGTGTAGAGTGTTGGACCAAGAGAGTGGGAGACCAGGGTTTGAGACAGGCACGGACACAAACAATTTAATTATTTATTTTCATTCGTTATGAACACGTTTTCTCTTGTACCTCTATTGTTTTTAGCTTTAGCCTATTTGTTCGAGTTTCTGAGGTATTTTGACAGCTGCTGCTCCAATTACCTGCCCTGGTAACAGCATGCAGAGTGAGCGCAGAGCTCCGACACAGGAGGAGGGGGAGGGAAAAAAAGCTGCGACCACGACTCTGACTCATATATATAGTTGTACAACGGAGCTWCTGCTATTATTAGCCATGCTAACGTAAACGCTGGCTTTGGAGGGCGGAGTTAATGTCAACAGATTTTTGGAGGGCGGAGTTAATGTCAACAGATTTTTGGAGGGCGGAGTTAATGTCAACAGATTTTTGGAGGGCGTTACCAACAGAGCTCATTAACATAAACAGCTTGTTCTGAAYGTAAGTAAGAGCAGGCAGAGCTAGAAAATGGGAAATTTTATTATCTGAGAATTATTTTGTGCATTAAATTGAATGAACATGGTCTGGATAGCCCACAGACATACCATAAACATTTCTAGGACCTATAATTGGTCTCCTTTAAGCAGTAAGACTGAAGACTGATCAATGCTTACATTCTCATGTTTGGCTTACACTCTTGTGTGATGAAAACTGCGAAGCTTCTGTCTGTTTCCGCTCTCTGATGCCCTGTGTTCTGCATAGTCCCCAGTCAGAACTGTCTTGCAGACAATTCGGTGTATATTGTGTGATTGGTCAGAACTTCATGGGGTGTATTTGTTTATGTGGAGTGGCCCATGCCTAATCTGCATGTTATTTTGCTGAAAACGGCTCACTTCCAGAAGCTGGTTATTATATCAGCAAGATGGACAGCTTCGAGGACCAGCTCCTCGAAAGTGTGAGGGAGTACTGTGTTTATAAGCTTAGCTATATGTGTGGAGGGAACTACAGTGGGAGTGCTGTGGGAGGGTAAAGAGAGAAAATGTGATGGTTATTCCCCACATTGTCTTTATACTATCAACACTGTAAGACTGACATCCAATATTACCAGGGGGCTAATCTTTTACTATCACATGATTCGATTCTGATTTTTGGTCCCACGATTAGGCCTGGGCGATAAACCGAAAAATAACTGAAACCGACATTTGACAATAACCGTCATTTTGCTCATGTCAGTATTTTCAGTAAATGAGGAAAAGARAAACCTGCTTGTTTTTCTGTTGTATCGTTAAAGCTGCCCAGTCTGATACAGGTTTAAACAGACACTGCATACAACAAATCAAACGAACCCCACAGCTTTATCCAATCAGAGCAGAGCAGGACGGGTCTTTCTGATGTCAGCAGTCTGGGATAAACACTGGTCAGCCTGCAGCTCGGCTGCAGCTCCTGTCCTGAGTGARCAAACCCCGTCCTCCACACTTCTCTCCCGAGCTACCCGAGACGTTGGTATCTAAAATCTAACACACTATAAGTTTATGTGTTCAGAGTGTTGTTTTCTACCWGATATGTCCAACTTTGCTCGCGTGACCAAACTCCTCTCCTCGACAGCGCTGTTACAGGAGCGCGCCAAGGTGCACACAGGCTGTTCTGAGAGCTGCTGTTTCAGCTCTTCTAATGAAACACTATTAACTCTAACAGATGAACAATCGTCTGTCCCATATTATAGAAAAGACGAGTCTCCACTTAGCGTCCCCCCCCCCACCCCAAAAAAAAAAGAAGAAAAAACCTGCTGTGTAGCTTATCATATCTACAAATGTCATTCTTCACAATATACAGTAGCTTGCTTATATTTAGAACCATACTGGGACTAAACTGCTCTGTAATGCAATAAATGATCAAATATGACGAATAAATAGTATTAAATGATTACATGACTCTCTAAATAATAATTTTTTGAAAGAAATGGTTATTTTAATAGAGAAATCAATCAGTCTAACAAATAAAAAAATTGTATTTAAGTTATTTTGTGCAGTACAAAAGACATATTTGGTATATATTTTTTAAATATAAAGTTATAGTACATACATAATGTTTGCACCAAAAAGTTATGAAGATGGTTGAATATTTGTGTGACTATATCTGACTAAAGTTTTGCCAAAAATGTTTTTTATCCAATATATTAAAAACACTAAAATGACAAATATAAACTACAGAAAAGATGTTCAAAGTCTAAACTGTGAACTTTGACTAAGAACGTGGACACAGTGTTATGACTATACTATACCGTGTACTTGTGTGTAGTGGGGGGTGGTAAGAGATATCGTGCATTTATCGTTATCGAGGTGAAACTAGTCAATATATTGTGATATTAATTTTAGGTCATATCGCCCAGCCCTACCCATGGTTATGCTGCGTTCACACCAAATGCGATTTCTGCATCAAATGTGTCCATCACTTCAAGCTGGACGCCTGTGCACTTTGAGGTCAGACGCAAGACAGACATTTTAACTTTTGAACATTAATCCATGCTTAGATGGAATTGATGCAACTGTTTCATAAAAGCATTGCTTTTCATGCATGCGTATGTTCCACAACTGGCTGTGTTGTGACTTGACGTCCCGCGTCGTTACAAAATGGAGTCTGACAGCCAGCATATTTTTTTAATCAATTTTGGGACATTTTATATCAGTTTGTGGAAAAACTGAAACATTTTGCAATTTTTATAAGAATCTTTTTTTGGCGCACCCTTAGAAATTGTGTCATGACGGATGTGTCGTTTCACATCCTGCTGAARTCTAAATCAGCCTGGAGTCGTTGACTCGCACAAGGATATTGGGAACCCCTTTTGAGACTTTGGAGATTTTCTTGTGAATATCGTTCGTCATCTAATTGCCACCAGTTGCATCCCAGTGAGATGCTACCTGTACATAAAATGAAACCCTTCAGCTCAGTAGTTTATGACAGGGCAGACACAKGAAGGGTAAGAGGAGTTAATGTGAATGATGTAAGATGTCCCTGGAGTTTGAACAGAGTGATAAATGTCGTATCAGTGAGTATGTTTTATTATACACCCCCTACTTCATCTGAGTCAGATAAATTGTCTAGAAAAAAATTTATTCCCCAAACAATTTCTTTCTTTGAGTTGGAAGAAAACACTGAAATCTCTGTTTAGAAAAGTTAGAGCATTCGAGACAGATTCTGAAAGAGCCTGGATTGAAGCACTGATGTCGTCATTTGAGCTGAGTTTTCTTTCTGTTTCGAATTTACTGTTCATAAGAACAATGTCCCACTGAGTTCTTCTTTTGTTGCAGCTGGTCAAAGATGACCCACACTTTCACCACTTTCTGCTAAGCCAGTCTGAGAAGGTAAGAGAAAACAAGCAGCAAAATCTGCATCACATCATCTTCATTCCCCCCCTGCCACCATGAAAGACAAACAATCATATAATACTTGTCTTAAACTTTTAGAAAGTAACCATTACCTCTACAACTTATTAACTAACCAAATTCAAGACGACTACAGTAAATTTCAGCCAGTAATGGTGGGAACTWGTGGGCACCTTACAGTTCAGGGTGTTGGGATTGGATCATGAAACCAGTATTGTTGCAACTTGATTATCTGTGATTATCAGGTTTGTGAATCAATATAATGAGAGAGCTTGTAAGCCTATGTATGTATTAAAAAAAATTAAATTGAAAACAAGATGTTCCTATTAATCAGCAGGTACTGGCCAACATCTAATATAGATACTAACTTAACATTAAAAATGCCATAGAAAACAAACACCTGTATCAGTCATGTCATGATAACTTCAGCTAATACATATACAGTTAAATCCTTCAAGGATACCTGGGTCTTTAATATTACACATTTATTTTTTTAAAAGTCAGAAAACTCAAAATTATTTAAAAGAACTCAATACTTTTAGCATTTTGGCAGCTGCCAATAAAGGTTATGCAGAATTAACTAAAGGTTTACTGTGAAATATTTCTAAGTTCACAAACTGCTTGTGATTGGCTAGTATCTCAGTGGACTTTGACTGTTGACAACTAGTAAGAGATAGACAATTGCAAAAATCGCAGAAGTCTTTAAATTRTCATCCAAAACATGAATGTAACTGCAGATTATTATTTTGTTGTTGTTGTTGTTGTTGCAGTTTAGCCAAAGGTATCCTAATTAAATGTCACTTTGATAGCAATTGTCTTAGTTTTGTGTTTTATCTCTCACTATGTAGTTTCATATGTTTCCAAACCCTGCATTGAGAGGTTTGAGATGAGTTTCAGATCCCTGCATTATGCTATTATGAGAAATGTGTGTATATAGTGTTGCACTTATCATATTTTGCACGTGTTCAAAATGTAAGCAGCCAAAGAGCTCTGTGACTCTGGGGTATCGGAGAACCATCGCAAACATTTAGAGACATTTTGGAAACCTTTTTTTTTGTTCTGTTTGCAGTTTGTTGTGAACAGTTTCACACCAATGAGATACTCAGCAGCTTTAGACTCTGCTGTGAGCTGGGCATGAGAGTATGACGTTTGCTTTGGTTCTGTTTATTATCTCGTCTCTGTGTCCTTTTCGCACACAGCCAGCCTCATCCATGGAGCCCATTAGCAAGCGCCTGAAAATCRTTGAAGAGGTAAATGAACTAACACTGAAATAATGTTTCTTGAGACTCGATGCACTCGACACAATTTATTTAATGTTTTTTTGTCACCTTGCAGGTCACAGGGTCAACTTCCATCCAAGCAGCAGACAGCACAGCCATTAATGGCAGCATCACACCCACAGATAAAAGGTTTGAACAGATCCTCACTGGAGCRTTAATGAGCAACATGGTTCAAACTAATAAATGTGTCTTGAAGGCAGCTCACTAAGTTAATGTGTCATTCCAGGTTGTTTGTTTTCCACCTTTGAYTAAATTGCTTTTCTTGTATTTCCGTCTTGCAGGATAGGTTTCCTGGGTCTGGGACTCATGGGTAGYGGCATAGTTTCCAACCTGTTGAAAATGGGTCATGTCGTGACTGTGTGGAACCGCACAGCAGAAAAGGTATTGTACTGCAACAGAGTGACTTGTGAACAYGTCAAGATATGGTTAAAATGGGCACAAATTATGTTTTAAATAGAGATGCACTCAAAAATCCTATTTKTCCTGCCAGTGAACACACCRCGGTTAGGCTGCTGCAAAGTGCTGCACCGCTCTGTGGGGAACTTATTGAGTAGAGAAAACATGAAGTTAGCTGTAAGTTCTGTTGGGTGTTTATCAGTCAGAGGAGGAACACAAGGTGGAGGAGCTGTTAAAGCCGTAACAGTTTATAAACATATTAGGAGACGGTTTTAATAATGTCAAAGAGTCGAGATTTTGACAGAAATTACAGTCTAGATTTCAGTCTCTGAATTGTAAAAGATGTTTCGATGTGAAGACGTGTTAACGGTTGTTGGTCTGTACTGTGGCTGATAAACTGTGTTTATAGGTGGAAGTGAGCATATGCTGTTTGGCCATTGCTTCTGATATGTCTGAAACTCTTCTTTTTACTCGGCCTGTTTTCATGTCACTACCAGGGCTGCCACAAACGATTATTTTTATAATTGATTAATCACAGATTATTTTTTCGATTTGTCGACTAATCRGATCATACATTAATTGAATATAAAACATAGAGCTTATCGTGCCAGAATACAGCTGCTATTATATAACCATCGTTAGATTTTAGCTATATGCTAACTAAAAATAATTGCTGTGGAAGGCAAGTTCTGCTCTGCAGATATTGCACAGGTTTCTCTTTATTTTCTTAAAATGATCCCACACTTTTGAGCTCCGTTGCTGGGTAGCCATGATACCAGAGCCTGTCTGTATAATGTCTTGTGACGTCCACGGCCTACCCCAGTTACCACTACTGTGCATGTGTGTCAAGGACAGAAAGGCAGATGTGGCAGTGGAAGGTGTCAAAGCAGTTTGGAGAGAAAAACAAAGTAAAGAACAAAAAAAAAAAACGATTAATTGATTATTAAATTAGTCATCGATTATTTTAATAATTGATTAGTCGTCGATTAATCGTTGCAGTCCTAGTCACTACTCTAGAACTCCATGGGCGTGCCCATATGCGATTTTCCTCAGTTCAGTCTCGGCCAAATGCAACATATTTCACTGAGCYGCAATTACAGGTGACCAATTGGTGACTGAAAGCAGGCAGATTTAATGTTGCATTCTCACTAAATTCGATGTGTTTGTGACCAAGTCACCAGCGAGCCATGGGGCTGCATTTTGCGCAACCGGTGTTTAAAAACCACAACTTATTTTTGTCTTCATTCTCAAGTGTCAAGACTATGAGCTTTTGTGATTTAAGTGAGGAAATTACATGCTACTCTCTCATGAATGCTGTTTGCCATGTAGTTGCTAGCAGTCCACAGMCCACTGAAAAGCTGCCTTTAGCAGAGGGAGCAGAAACAGGCAGATTTTCTCCTCCTACGAGTGGAAACATGAACACAGCTTAGATATAGTGCGTCTCTTATCAGTATAATTTTTCTCTTTAACTTCATTAAAGCTAAAGTACTTCCRAACACTGGCTTTGTATGTTGTCTGTTGTGTGCACACCAGAAAAGGTCAGGAACCTAATGCATCTTTCATATTAAGAGTTGGTGTAGGGACAAAATGAAAATGACACAACTGTCTAAATATACAAATATGCAGGAAAAYTAAGAATTTTATGGAATGTGAGAACAGCACTTCCACATAAAGTAGTAGGGTGTAAACATATTTGGCACACTGTCCTCTGGCATTTGTATCATGTGCAAAGAGGAATAATGTTTGTGCAAAGATGCTTTTTTTAGAGCTGTGCACACCCATAGAAGGAACAAAAAAGGTGAAATAGTCAAGACATAAGGATGCAAGTAAAGTGAAGGAGGCCTGCCCATCACCTYTCATAATGTTACACTCTACTTCCTGTACATGAATTACATGAATTATTATTGTTCATGAATGGAGAGAACCAGGGCGCACCTCTTAGGCTGAGCCATTTCCATCTTTCTGCATGTGTTTAATTACTGTAAACAGAGGCACACAGGAGCTTGGTAGAACTTAGAGGCTTATTCATTRAATGGTTTATGTCAAAAATTGCATTGCTGCACATCAAGAGGGTGTTTCAGCTACTGTTTCAGAAATTTGATATATCTGGGCATCATACAAATGAGGTCATCCCATGCGGCTGTCGTGGAACAGCTCAGGGATGACTGTAAAAAAAAAAACTTGTCAACCAGCACAACGAACCCCAGCATGGTGTGGGCTTTAACTGGCAAAGCACAGATCCTCCTAGTTTTCCTCTGTAATGCTGGGGCCAGTTCAGCACAGAGGTCCATCATAACTGCTCTGGGCAATCTAAACTGGATAATGATCATCGTTTGGTTGGTGTGATCCCTGAAAACACGCTCCCTCCCTCATTCTATTGGCAATGTCCTCCAACAGTGCCAAAGCTGCCATTGTTCCACAATTACACACAACTCTACAGAGCTATTCATGGGTGTGTGCGTGATAGTCTACATTTTGTCCACTTTAGTAATCATCCCACCTGATTAGCTCTGAATTAATTTGCTGAGCTGACATGGWATTCTTCTCAATAAGAATTAGGGCTGAACGATTTTGGGAAATAATGGCGATTTTTTTTTTTATCTATAAATTGCGATTTAACATGCAATTCTTTTTGTCTTAAGTATTTTCCAACAAACAGAAGCAATAAATCAATCTGTTTTATAATAAAGTAAGATTTATTTAAAGCACAGATTACAATAAATCAAACAAATCTGTGGCTTTACCTTTTCACCATTTCTAATTTTTCTTGATTCATGAAACATATTAAACATGTTAAGTGAACTTCCTAAACACTGTGTGAACTTCACAGGACAGTCTATAAATAAATAGAAAAAAATAAAGCTTACTGCTTTCCAGCCAGTAACATCATGAAAAAATAAAGTGCAAAAAACATGAAGAGAATAACCAACTCGTTATTTTCTAGATTAATCTAATTTAAGTCACTAGATTACATCATCACCTAATGTTTGCCAGTAATTGTGATCTGAGCTATAGGAGRGATGTTAAAGAGAGAAAGTGAAGAAAAACACTAAATATGTTTAGAACAGCGATTAAACTTAATGAAATAAAAATAATTTTATGACTTCAAAGCTTAGATCCACATTACATAAATTAAATTAGTGATAATCTTAAATTTAATCTACAGACTGTTAAATACAGTGGTGTGAAAAAGTGTTTGCCCCCTTCCTCATTTGCTGTTTTTTTGCATGTTTGTCACACTTAAGTGTTTCGGAACATCAAACCAATTTAAACAATAGTCAAGGACAACAATTTGTAAAAGAAGGTGTTTTATTATTAAAGGAGAAAAAAATCCAAACCATCACGACCCTGTGTGAAAAAGTGATTGCCCCCTAAAC